GTCCTTTGGCTTCGGTCACTGTGACAGGCTAATCCGTCTCGGATGCCGCCAACCTGAACCAACCTGTTGGTCGATGAAAAATGGTGTTGAACAGTTTGTAGGTATGAAGAAAAAGTGAATGGAATTAGATAAAAAGTAACTCTAGAGGGGTTTTCCGCCTGCCAATCTTCGTCCGTTGGTCCGATTTCGTTGAGCGATGGCTTGTCCGGTTGCTTGTGCTGTCCTCCTTTCATCCATTATGGGCTTTGACCGTACTCCACAGGCGTGTCGAGATATTACTGAGAGTGTTGGAATGATCACGCCTTCAATTTGGTCATCCATCCTATTTCGGATGTCACGCCTCACCCGTTGGTCCGATCCGGTCGAGCGACGACTCATCCGGTCGCCCACGCCGTCCTCCATCCGCTCGCGGTGGGTTTTTGAACGCACCTCCCCTGTGTTGAGGTATTCCGCCGAGAGTTGGAATGCTCGCACCACCTGCCTGACAGTCCACTACAATATCACTAACGGACACTGAAATAACACTCGGTCAAACTTGCGTAGTTGATGATGCACGAGACTGAGCTAGTATAAAGGGTGGGGAAACTTGTAGTGCCGGTTCCCTCTCACGTATGTGTTGATCGAGTAATATTCTAAAACTCTCAACTGATTCAGCTGTGCTCACAGAGTTGGACAACGCCTTCCAGTGTGAATAGACTCTAACTGTTAAGCACTTCTGTCCACAAAGGAGCATGTCTGTTCCATTACTCAGTTTCAATGAGTGACCTATTAAACGTTTATCTTTGTCTAGTGAGAGGAGATATGCCAATGGATGACTCAGAATGTGGAATATTTTATAGGTAAGAATTAGATCTCCCCCGAGATGTATTTAATTCATTGAAAATTGACCTAATTCTGCCAGTCTTTTCGGATGAGGGGATTTCTTGAGCCCTGTAAATCTTCTAGTGGCTGGTCTATGAACATCTACATTAAGTGCCCAGTCTTTATTAAGGTAAGGACGACAGGCTTGTATGTTCGTTTTCAGGTGTGGACGGATTATGGAGGCGATCATGATGGGGAAAAATTAGGAGTAGAAAGTAACACAAATTCTTCCTAGGATGTTCACGGTTATTTGTGCACTTTTTGTCAAAGCAGCACAATCCGTAAACAAACTCAAAATGCTTGCCATTATGGATCCTAGATCTCCTTCGCCTGCTGACACTGAACGGCAAGTTACATTTTATGGACCACTGATTTAGACAGTTCAAATCGTTTTGTAATGTCACTACGTATTCCGGGTACTCTAGAACTAGTCAGAGCCTTGTTTCATCGGCGTTGAGCAACATTGTCAATTTGGCGGAATTGGGTAGATCAAGAACAAAAAGAGTGAATGACAGGACTCATAAAAATTGATCCTTGCGGAACGCCGTTGTTAGCAAATACTAGCCAGGCCTAACGTTGTATAACTTCGGTGTTCGGAAGATGATCGGTGTTACCAACGTGATATGGCGATTACTACTGTTAATAACAATACTAACTATAGGTTCGGTTTGAGATAAACGCATTCATTTGCCGGCACGACTTTTTGAATACGTTGTATTTTATGATCATCTAAATACACTGTAAACGGGGAGTTTATAATTCGCTGTGCTGCATGTGGATTACCTATGTTCCCTGTTGTCACAAAAATAAAACTGCATGATAGTGTAGACAAAAGGGGTTCAGTTATGCGCATTCCTTATTGTCCAATCCACTCGTTCTCATGTCACAGGCGCGCTAGCGTTTGAGAAACGGAATTCCGGTTCACAACAGACTGTTAGGAGGAGCATTTCCTAACGAGACAGCCAGGGCGCGTCACGCCACATCGATCGACCGGCCCAGCTCGGACGGTATGGTCGTGCGTGGTGGTATGGCCTCATCCAGCCAGTCAGATTGCAGGTGTGCGGTCGAACGCCTGAGCGTTAGCTGAACAGTGTTTTTCTGGCGTTGCCTTCTGACGCCCTCTGTGACGTGATTTGTTCTGACTTCCTGACTGCCATATATGACTGTTGTTCAAATAGACCTGGAGATTTAATCAAAAGTAAAAACGTGTCGAACAAGATCGTTTTCAGTGTATCATCTTCAGGCCAAATACAACACAATAATTATGGAATTAGTTGTCAAGTCAGGATTTTGCGAAATTTAATACAGTATGAATACAGAGTGAGTATATGACTGCTCATTTGATTCGCTTTGTGTCTGTCGACCATCTATGGTAATCGTTTTGTCCTATAAATCTAGAGCTTCTGTGGCCTAAGTTTTGTCTCGTCTCGCTCGTCCAACAGAAGGTATGGCCGTGTCTCTTCTGATTTATCGGTTTTGGGTCAAGCGGCTGAGCGCGTAACTAAGGTGACGATTCAATACAAAGAAACGGTTGGCAGCATTCGAAACGGATTAGCCTGTCACAATGACCGAAGCCAAAGAACGCCTGTGCTACAAAACCATCACCCCAAATGGCTTACATTGCACCACTTGTGGTT